GTGGGATTTGAACTCTAGACCTGCCACTTGGAGAGGGTGACAACTAGACCACTACACTAAGTCGCCACACCTCAGTTAGTATTTATATACTGTAATATCAAAGATATATGTTATTATATGTATTAGCCTTATTTTAATGTGCATGCCATTTCATACAAATTGGCTTTACAATCACGATACTAGTTTGGATATTGATAAACAAACCTACCTTTATAGTTAAGTACAGATCTTTAATAATCAAGAATTAGATTTTTTTTATAACCCAGTATGCAACGGTAATACTTACACTTGCAGATTAATATTAAGAACTGAAATAATTTTATTCATATACTAATGGGTTTATTTAAGAACCTGTTCTGTTAGTAACTTACCAAGTTAGTCTAAGTTGTAAATAAATATATAAATAATTAATTTTTTAAGTAATAATTATTGCTACTATTAATTTTCAATATGTCAAATCATAAAACCAAATCTCTTAACTCAAGTATTAATTCATTTTCTATTGCTGCTTAGTTAAAAGCTTTAGCTAATAATGCTGATGATGATGAATTCTCTATGACTTCAGAAGAAAAAAATAATCCTCGTCAACTTAAAGTACTACAATTGGCCAAGAAATCATTAAACTAAAATTTAAGTTGGCTCAAAATATATCCTTGGGTTTATCATGAAGAAGGGCTTTTAAATAAATATATGTTTTGTCTTTGGTGTAAGAAAGCTAGTAAAAATAATAATTTTACCAAAGAGTGTGAATTTTTTAAAAAGCAAAGTTTGGATTGTCATGTTATTACTAGTGATCATCAAATAGTCTGTGCTGCTCGAATGAAATCTCAAGTTACTTTGTATTCTAGTTTTGCAGTTCAAATAGAAACTGATCAAATTAAAGTAATAAGAAATATGCGCAATATATATTTCTTAATTCAATATAATTTGTCAACTAATATATTTGAAGATTTATATAAATTATCTAAAATTTAACAAGTTGAAAATCAAAATCAGTTTGAGTATAGTGTAGATATTTTAAATATATTTGATAATAATTTTTTTATTAATGATAAAAGAGCCCATATGGTAGCTATCAAAATAATATTGCAGCTCACGAATTTATTGAGTCAATTGGTCATGTTATAGAACAAGAGGTTTTTCAAGAATTGTAAAATTCAGATAGGTGGAGTATAATGCTTGATAAAAGCAATACTATTTCAACTAAAAAAGTTTTAGCAATTGTCTCTAAACATTTAATTGGATTAGCAAAACCACTCTATCGATTTCTTGGATTAATTTTTTTAACAAATAGTACTGCAAATACAATTATAACAGAAATTAATCGATTCATTAAAGCTAAAAACATATCATATAGTAAACTAATATATATTTGTACTAATGGCACAAGTACAATGACAGATAATATATTAAATTACTTTTATAATTTATATAAAATTTATTATTTATAGTATTTATAATTATTATCTCTTAAACTATAAAGCAATTCCAGGCAAATTTGCCTGTAAAATTACTATAAATTTGCTTATGATCTACTTTTTTTAAAATTTAAAATATTTAAATAAAATTTTTTTTGATAATAT